AGTCAGATAAGATGGCTCAATGTGTGAATCCAAAGGCATCTTTAACATAACGTAATTGAAGTTCACCGAACGTACCCTCATCAATGAATATGTGTTTTCACTTGATTGATGAAGAACTAATATGAAAATCTAGATATTACTTTATTTATGATTTATAATTGGATTTAATTTAAAATAATAATGATTATATAGATCTAAATCTTAATTTATTAAAAAAATTTATTTATAATATTTTCATTTTTTGACACATAAAATGCATGTTTGACTATTTTTATTAATCATTTCCATTTATTTTAAAAAGATAAAAATATAAAAAATTAATAAGTACCCAAAGTTTGAAATGGATTTAAGTAAAAAAAAAACTATGAAAGAAAATGCATGTAGCTAGCAATCATGTGGTTTCTTTCACATGTAACTTTTTGAAATCAATGCTACTATGAGAGCATGCATTTGTTCATATAAGAATCTGCTTTTATATTGTTCATCCTATGAGATGCTTCATTTGGTGGCTAAGTTTGCTAAATGAAACTTAGCAACTGATAATAATAATTCCTATTTCTGTTATTGTGTAACATTGAAGTTTACATATTTTTACAAAATAACTTCAGTTTTTTAGTCCTCTCCATACATCACTTCCCCACAACTGCTTACAAGTTTCCTTAGTTACATTTTTTTGACCACTTTTGTCAAGTATATGTGGAAAATGACATGCTAAAAACATTATGTGTGTAAATCGATGTTGCACCTTTTATAAAGAAGTCAAAAATAACTCGAGTTTTTCAATCCTCCCCGTCCATCACTTCCCTACAATTGCTTACAAGTTTCCTTAGTTACGTTTTTTTTACCACATTTGTCAAGTACATGTGGAAAATGACATGCAAAAAACATGATGTGTGTAAATCGATGTTGCACCTTTTATAAAGATTTTCAATCCTCTCCGTCAATCACTTCCCTGTAACTGCTTACAAGTTTCCTTAGTTACAATTTCTTGACCACATTTGTCAAGTACATGTGGAAATTGACATGCAATAGATATGATGTATGTATATGCTAATATGTAATGCAAGAGTGGTAGAATTTCTAAACAAAATAATAATCCATGAATAAGATAGTTGTAGAAATTTTAAAATAGAAAAATAGTATGGAAATATCATCATGTAATAGGTGGATAAGAATCTCTTTCCTAATTTTTTTACAATTGCTTATGGTTCCTCAATTACACTTTTATGAAAAAAATTCCTTACACCCAAGTCGAATAGGTAAACTCATCACAATCAATTCAATTGCATCCTCACCATGACTTCAAAAATTAGTTTTGCATTTAGCTTTACATGTTACCTTATAAATTTAAGAGATTATGTGGTGGTTGGGCACATTAGTGTACTTTTTGTGATATGAATCCTTAATCTTACTTAATGTATATGATTTATTACATCAATTTTGCATCTAATTTCATGGCTTACTAATCTTCTAAGAATTTTTTGGCATAATTTCCAATATTATTACTGAAGTGAATAACTCCTTATCCATAAGAAAAGAATAAATAACTAAATATTACTTTAAGTTATGTAGAAAAAAACTACCATTTTTTATTTTTTCTATACAGTTATGTAGTTTTTTTGTTTCTTTACTCATGTTACAAATGTAAAATCAATGTAGTTCCGCCTCTAAAATGTCTAATAGACCTTTGAATTTTGAAGTTTTATTTTGCTTCAATAACATCTGAAGGTTGATCTTCATATTTTTTGCTTTCTAAAGAAAAGATATTCACATGGTTCTTTTTCCTTGCTTTTTATTGTCTACAGTCATATGAGCTATAATATTTTTGAGAGATTGAAATAAATAGAAACATAAATACTACTTCTATGTTTGGCATTTCTCAACATGACTTCCCATTGTTGTTTGTCAAGTGTTAATGAATATTTTTTTATCATTGTATTCGAATTTTACAGCAAGTTGCCTCTTGTTGTCGTTGTTGTTGGGTTTTTTTTTTTCTTTCTTTTGCATTCATTATATATTAATGTGTTTTTGCCTCCTTCTCTTCCTTTCATTTTCCGCAGGCTCCCTAAATAGATTTAAAGTTTTGCTAGAATTTTTGCAAATGCCATTTAGCCAAATGATATGTTGGGACATGGAAAGAACAAAACTTCACATTGTGAAGATTGACAAAACTACCAATCAAACGGTTCTTTAATATGCTTCATATTTCTTAAAAGAAATAGCCAAGGGAGTTCTTTGGGAGAAAGATCACATAAATTCACTTTCTGAGTTGATCATGTTGGCATTTCTTCTCAAATTTGATGGAGAAGCCGTTGGTTTTTGAAGTTAAAGAATTTGCAAGTATTTTTGGAGGACAAGTTTCTTTCGATAGCCTAGGTATGGTGAGCACAGCTAATATTCGCTGTGAGTGAGCAGGCATGATGAGGATAACTAATATTTTAACTTTTTCGCATTTGGCCATTTTAATCTTCTTGCGCCCTCTTTTAATATTTATAATTAATTTTTTCCCTCAGGCATATGAAGTACGGCTGGGTGAAGGATATGGCAGTTTGTAATATCATGCTTATTTTGAAAAATTAGATTGTTCTCAAGGAGATTTCATCTTTAGAAAGATGATTACTAAAAACTTTCAAGAATATTTTTAAAATTATGTTATTCAAAATCTTTTGGTTCAATGGTTTAGGAGGATAAGTATTTAAGGGACTAATATGATTTTTGGTTTCTATCTCATATGTGATGTTAGAATTTACATTTTATTTTATATGCTATAATACTTCTAGCATTTTAACATGATAATCCAATCATGTATGGTTCTTAATTTATTTCTAAAAGTTATAATTAATCTTAGTTTTTCACTCCAATTTTTTATTAATCAAAAGAATATATTTTATCCATTTGGTAATAATGTTGTCAAATAATTATCTATCACTGTAGAGGACATTACAATAAAAATTAAACTATAAAAGAGATTACCTAAAGTTTTTTTTCTTACTCTTTTTAGGCTTTATCAATTTCTCTATTACATTTTTATGAAAAAAAATCCTTGCAACTGAGGTCTAGCACCGAATGGTAAACTCATCACAATAATTTCAATTGCTTCCTCACTTCTACTTTGCAAATTAGTTTTCTTTTAACCTTACATGTTACAATATAAAATTAATAAACCATATTCATTTAAGGGTAAACTTGCAAAGTTTAATTTTGTTATTTAATCTTCATTGTTTTAGATTATAGATGAATAGATCCAATTTTAATTTTTTTATTAATCTATTCTCTTTGCCATCACTATTTTAATTCTCACAGTAATAAATATTAAAATTAACTTACAATAAATATGATACTTGTTTCAATCTTTAATATGAGTAGAAGAAATTTTAAAGTAAGGACCAATTTTTAGACAAAATAACAATCCATGAAAAAGACAGTAATAGAAATTTGGTTTTATGTAATGCCTATATAGCAAATTATCAATAAATTGTAATCTTTATATTATTAATATATCTTTAGCGAGCTTTTATAAGAGAAAGTATATTAAAAATAATAGTAAATTCTATTGTCACATAAGTGGTAATTCTAAAAGTTTAAGATCTACATTGATTGTTTATGGTGAAATCAGATGGTTTAGCATATCATACATTAGTAAATTTTATTTTAAATTGTTATTTTTAATTAGTTTTAATTAAAAATTCTTTTCTTTTTATTTGTTTAAATAATTTTAAAATTA